AGACTTCTTCGGAGAAGTCTACTTTTAAAGTAGACTTCTTAGAGGTTAGTTTTGCAATTGACCAATATTGACATTTTAAAGTAGACTTCGTTTGAAGTCTACTTCAAAAGTATACTTGGGTTAGTTTTGGGGTTGACCAAACATTGAATTTATTTTCGAGTAGACTTTTTTGAAGTCTACTCAGAAAGTAGACTTCAAACGAAGTCGACTCGGAAAAGTAGACTTCAAGCGAAGTCTACTCGAAAAAGTCAACATTGGTCATTTGCAAAACTAACCTCTAAGAAGTCTAAGTTCAAAGTAGACTTCTCCGAAGAAGTCTATTTTTGCGAGTAGACTTTTTACGAAAAAGTCAAAGGTTGGTTAATTGCAAAACTAACCCCTTTTTACGTAGACTTCTTTTGAAGTTTACACTATTTTTTTTTGTTGTCAAAGGAAATGGCGCATACTTCAACTGAAGTCTACTGTCAGAAATTAGTACACCCGGTCAATTGCAAAACTAACATGTGTGTTGACCAGCAGACTTCTTTTGAAGTCTACTACCGATAGTAGACTTCTTAAGAAGTCTACTTTCACGGCACAGGTCTGAAAACTCACGAAAATTGACTGAAAAATCACCTACCAGTGGTATTTAACTTATTCAACCACCGATTTCCAGCCACCACCAAACAAGCCCAAACGATTTGCCAGTCTAAATTACCAAATATGGCAATATATTAAAACATCAAGTTTCAAAAATTTAGATTAGAGAGTTTTTGTGCTGAAAATGGTGAAAAAATGGAAGAGTAGAAGGTTAAGAGAAGAGGAAATGAGGTTACAAATCTAAAAAATGGGTCTTTGAAACAATAAAAGCTTTAAATTGGTTGAAAATGGTGGTTGAATGAATTGATGGTGATGGCATTTTCGTGAATAAGTGAGGAAGATGAGGATTGTTTGGTAAAATAGATTTCTGAAATAATAATAAAAAACAATAATCTAATGGCATTTTCGTAAATAAATAGAACTGATAAGAATATAAGCGAGATAAAGTGGTTAATTTCAAAAGTGGTAAAATGAGAGGTTAGTTTAGCAATTGACTTGAATTTATGAGTCATTTTTGTAAGATTCCCTTATAACAATGAAAATGATGATACTGATGATGATGGTAAGGGTTATGGTGATGGCGATGTTAAATGTTCTAAATATTGTGTTAGGCATATAGTCTACAATGAAAATTATGGCACTTGGCTATTAGGCGCTTGATCAGAGCCGTGCCTACTATAATAGAATAGAGGCCAGAGGCGACTAAAAACACATTTAAATTTATTTATATGAAACAAACATTACTTATAATACTTATTTTTATAAATTATTTATATTTGAATTTTTAAAAACATTTATAATAATTTGGAGAATAATTTAATTAAATAATTTAATAAAAAGAGAACAATTAAAAAAGAAAACTAACTTTAGAGATGAAAACAATTTGGTACAAACTTTAAAAAATGTTCAGCAAGATGTAGTGCTAATTTAAACAATTTGGCAAACAATTTAAAACAGAGAATTTCTATTAGTTATTTAATGTTTATAGATTTTATTATTCTCATTTGTAAATCAAATTTATTTTTAAAAACTGTTTTTGAAAATTGTAACGTACAATGATTCATACATACACATGCAAGCAAATAATTGTGTCTAATAGAAATTTTATAAATAATTATAATTTTTAAAATAGATTGATATATATATATATATATAATAAAAATTTCTCATTAAGTATTAAAATTATGGGTCGTAGGCCAATGTTTCTAATTGCCTCACGTAGGCACGGCCCTGTAATTGATAATACGGTCACTATAACCCATACTGTCATGACCACCATCATCATCTTCATTGTTATCACTATTATTTTTGACACCACAATATATTATTGTAGCAGACACTATCATTATTATTTATTTTCGTTATTTTACATTTTTATATTAATTTATTTTTTGTCCAAAAATATTTTACGTGAGAAAAAAGATAAATGATAAAAAATAATTACCTTTATGAAAATAAAAAATGAACTTTATACCATCTTTTTTTTTGCTTAACTGATTATATTTAATTTTAAATTTAAATCGAAAATACAATATCAGATAGAAGTAGATGACTCGGTGCTAAAAAGTGATCACTTGTTACGAACAAATAGATCAATATAGTAAAATATAGGATATGCAGTTCAAGCTAAAGACAAAAATTGGAAGTTTTTTCAAAAGGACTTCTGAGATCGATATGAAGACGATCTGAAGTCCTTCTGCCATTAGAGACAAACGAACAACAATAATAGCTCGAAGCACCGTTACGGCTGAGCATTTAAGAAAATTTTCCATGAAGGAAAAAAGCGGATTCTAAGATACATTGGTAAGTTAGCAATACTCAAAAACTGCAGATTCGAAAGAATAACCGTCGAAGAAGGATTATACCATCTGACTTTTCAATTATCTATTACCTTATTTTTCAATTATCCATTATCATATATTATTATGTATAATATTTATTAAAAAAACATTACTGAAGTAAACTAATAATCCAATGTTATTCTCATTTCTTAAAACTTTCAAAAATTTGAAAGTGAAAAAAAAGTTATCACACTAAATTTAGAAAACTGTATCCTACTCTTTTTTAAGTATACACAATTACTAATGCAAAAGTAATCTAATTTTCCGATTTTTGAGTTATTTCATACTCATCTTATTTGGTTATTGGGGTGAATTTTTACCCTTAGTCTTGAGCTCTTTAAGTTAAATTCAATTATACTATTTTCCATTTGACTGGTATGAATCCAGTAAGATCTCTCTTTATTATTTCTTTGACTGAGAATCCAGTAAGATCTCTCGCGTATTAAGTTATATGTTTCCTCTAAAAGACTAGTCAAAGCATACTTTGACTTTCAAAACAAAATTGAATTGACATTGGGTTTGAATTAATTTAATATTCTGAATCGGCAAAGAGGTTGTTGAAAGAAAATTTTAATAAAAATTTATGCAATTAAACATAATATGTTATAGAAAAAAAAACACATACAGATATAAATATATTAGCCTAGTTAATTTAATATTCTAAAACTAAACGATGGAGACATTTCGTGTACATTTGATTCATCCATAGTTAAAGAGAGATCGTATGAATCCAGTAAGATCTCTCTTAATTAAGGTTGCTGCTACATATTTGCTAGATTTTACTTTCTCCGATTTATAAAGAGTGTGGCTTTGACAGTTTTTACACAAATTAAAAAATTTAATAAAAAGTTTTTTCTATCTTTTATAAATACATTAAACAATTTTTTCTTTCTAACTAATAAATTAATATAACAAAATTGAAACTGAATTTTTGTTTAAAAATTTGCATTGAAAATATAAAACGATATTTTTTATGAAACAAAAACAAAACTGTTTATGTAAAATGATACTCTTTATTAAACGGATAGAGTATTAATTTCTATTTGAAAATGTAATCGTCATGATAAACACAGTAGTAGACTACTTCATCAAGTATCTAGTTTAAGTTTTTTTTTCTATTTTGTTCATAAAAATAAAATAATGAAAAAGAAGGAAAGAGACAAAAATATGTCTTTCAAACAAGTTTGATATATGTTTTTCACTTCAATAGCTTGTCATTATTTTAGTATTTTTCTATTTTAAATTTAATTATATAATTAAACTTTATTAAAATAATATTAACTAGATATTCTTTTAAAATATTTAATGATTGGAAATGATCTTAGATATTCTTTTTAAATATTTAATAGTTGGAGATATTCTTACTAAAAACAAAAATGGAAATTATTCTTCCAAAAATATTTTTTTTTCTTTTTTTTTTGGTCAAACGCAAAGATCTTCAAGAAACCAAATGAAAACTATGATAGAGTCATAACAACTTTCATTCGAAACTCTATAAATGACCTTCCCCACCCGATTCTCACTTCTTCATCACTCCTTCGTCGTTCCATAAACTATAATACATTTTTTTTTATATATACTAGAGTATAATTGAGTTTTAGTAATATATAAAAAAGTCAATTCATACATTTTTTATAATTTATTCATAGATATATTTTTATTTATTATACCCGTCAAAAACCAAAATGGTTTTAGTAATGTCATATTTATTAGTGGTTCTAACCATTCTTTCCATGGAGTTAACGATCGCCACATCTCGTGTCACTTTTAATGAGTCCTCTATTGCTGATTACCACCAACAATGGATGATACAATTTTCTCGAGTTTATAGCAATGTATCCGAGAAACAGATGAGGCTTGAAGTGTTCAAGAAAAACTTGCAGTTCATAGAGAACTTCAATAATAAGGCGAATCAAAGCTACAAACTTGGTGTCAACGAATTCACGGATTTGACCGACGAGGAGTTCCTTGCCACACACACCGGTCTCAATGGCACAAACGAAACCTCACCATCCCAAGTGGTCGATGAAACGATGCTATCTTGGAATTGGAACGTCAGTAATGTTGTCGGCCAGAGCAAAGACTGGAGAAAACAAGGGGCTGTGACACCTGTCAAATCGCAAGGAGGATGTGGTAAGCTTTTCGAAATCATATACTATAAAAATTCTCTATGGATCGGAGAAAGTAAACGATTGGGTCAGTAATTTAATGTCATAATGTCAAAACTAAACTCTGCATACAAAAATTTAGTCCCAAGTTAGCGTAATCATTCTAGGTGTAGGGTTACCAACACAAGATTCGTTTCGTAACAATAAAGTAATAAATATATGGGCAGGTTCTTGTTGGGCGTTCTCAGCGATTGCTGCAGTGGAAGGTCTGTCAAAAATTACCCGAGGAATCCTCGTATCACTGTCCGAACAGCAGCTTGTAGATTGCGACAGAGCATATAACAATGGATGCAAGGAGGGAACACGGGGAGAAGCTTTCAAGTACATAGCACAAAACCATGGCATTTCTTCAGAACACGCATACCCTTACAAAGCTAAAGAGGGGGTTTGCAGGTCAAAAGCCAAACCCGTCATGATGCAGATCAGGGGGTTTCAAGCCGTCCCAGTCAACAATGAGCGTGCGTTGCTCCAAGCTGTATCGAGACAGCCTGTATCGGTGAGCATTACAGCGAGGGCGGCGAGTTTCAACCATTACGCTGGAGGAGTGTACAATGCGCCTGAGTGTGGGATCAACGTGAATCATGCAGTGACGTTCGTTGGGTACGGGACGAGCCCCGAAGGGATCAAGTATTGGCTGGCAAAGAACTCATGGGGTAAGACTTGGGGAGAAAATGGTTACATTAGACTCCGTAGAGATGTGGAGTGGCCTCAAGGCATGTGTGGTATAGCTCAGAGTCCTTGTTATCCGGTTGCGTGACTAATTCTGTTAGATGATTTATATCCAACTATCCACACATTATAGAGTCTAATTTATGAATTTGTATGTTCAATGCATACTCTAATTTAGAACCATTGAAGAATGTTCTCCCAATACAATACCTAATTTATCATTTGCTGCCCTTCTGATTCTTCTATCTCTTAATCTTAAAATAATGGGAGATTCTGAAAAGTTTAGTGGATCTAACAAATATTTCAGAAAATTGTTTTTTTATCAAATATGGATGGTCATTGATTTTTTTGGTCAAAATAAGGATTGTCATAAATTTGTATTGACTATTTTTATTAATTTAAAATGTTCTTTTATAATGTAATATATATTCATTTATTTTTGATTTTCTAAGTAAATGAATTTTGAAACAATTTCAAAAAAAAATTCAACTGTTATTGATTCATAAATTCTTAAACTCTTAGTCAAATCTATTATTATTGGTTTTGCCATATAGAAATTTCATTCAAAATCCTTTATTATTTAAAAAGTTTAGATATCATTGATTTTCTAAGTTTAATATATTATTGATCTTTAAATTTATAATCAATAACTATTAAATTTTATAAATTAATAACTTACAAATCAATAATTTTGCTTGATCTGAACAGTATTAATTTATAAAAATTTTACTGTATGTGTTCGTAGGTCTAGTAATTCTTTCCATAGATCTAATCATCTAGCCACATTTCGTGTCACTTTTAACGAGTTATCCATTGGTGATTACCACCAATAATGGATGATCCAGTCCTCTCGAGTTAGAAAAACTTGCAGTTTATTGAGAACTTCAATCATAAAGCGAATCAAAGCTACAAATTTGGTGTCAACGAGTTCACGAATTTGATCGAAGAGGAGTTCCTTGCCACCCACACTGGTCTCGATGGCATTAACGAACCATCTGAAGTAGTTGACGAAACGATGGCGCCATTTTGGAATTGGAACGTTAGTAATGTCATCGGTAAGAGCAAAGACTGGACAAAGGAAGGAGCTGTAACACCTGCCAAATCACAAGGAGGATGTGGTAAGAGTGTCGTAAATTATATATTATTAACAGTTTCTACAGATCGGAGAAAGTAACCGGTTGGAATTGTATCAGTAATTTAATGTTATATTTATTGAAGTTAAACTTGATTTTGGGTTAAACTTAATTTTGGGTTTATAAAATAATTATTAGTTATTAGATTAGGCCCAAAATTAAGCTCAAGTTCTAGAATCTCTAGAAACATCACTAAAAATCATCATCTTTCTTAAATGTTCTAGAGAATTCTATTAGTTAAATATCTAGATAATTCTATAGATAATTCTAGATGTTGTGGTTAAAATTCTAGATATTATTGTAGAAAATTCTAGATATTAGGAGAATGTTTGTAAGATATTTTGTAATAAGTGGAGCCTATAAATAGCCCACTACTCCATCATTTGTAAACAAGAGAAGTTGAACAAATAAAGAAAGAGTGTTCTTCATAAGTTCTCTTATCCTCTCTAAAGTTCCTTCAAGTTTTCTCTAAGTATTCTTTCATCTTATTATTCATACTTAGAGGGTCTTTGTTTCTTTCGGATCTCTCGGGTATTACGGTCTTGGGCTAGTGCTTGGCATTATCGGTGTTTTCTTTACATGGTATCAGAGCCATTCTGATCTGGTTCTTTTTCAAGATCTGATTAATTGAGATCTCAGATTTACTCTAAGTATGGAGTCAATGGGTCGCGTTGTTGGGTTGGGAATGGAGATTCTAAACCAATCCAATTACCGGTTATGGAAGTCATGCATGGAGTCATACTTGGTGAGTGAGGACTTATGGGATGTCGTCGGCGGCAGTAGCACAACACCACCAAGGGGAGCTGCTGCGACAGCGGAAGCGACAAAGGAGTGGACACGGAAGAATGCCAAGGCGGAGTTTGCATTGAAGAGGTCAATATCCTCGGGAGTCTTTGAGCATGTCTCAAGTTGCACATCCGCTAGTTCCATTTGGCAGGCATTAGATCAGTTGTTCAACAAGAAGAATGAAGCTCGGCTACAACTGTTAGAGAACGAGTTGGCGAATGCAAAGCAGGGGGAGTCTTCAATCTCAGAGTTTTTCATCAAGGTAAAGAATCTTCGCTCAGAGATTAATACTCTAAATCCGGAGGAGTCAATTTCCGAAGCACGTTTAAAACGGTATATTATTCGAGGTCTACGACCTGAGTATACACCGTTTGTGACTTCGGTTCAAGGATGGGCTACACAACCTTCCTTGGAGGAGTTCGAGAACCTGCTAGCTTCGCAAGAGTCATTAGCTACGCAAATGGCAGGAGTCAAAATCCATGATGACTCGGGGAGCGCCTTTGTAGCTCGGAAGCAACACAACTTCAAAGCCAAATCCAAATACGATGGTGCAAAGAACATCGATGGACCGGAAGGATCTTCTACTGGAGATAAGAAGCGATTCAAGTGCTACCAGTGTGGAAAGCTTGGGCACTTCAAAAAGGATTGTCGAGTCAAGCTGAAGGAGACAAATATGGCAGAATCAAAAGGTCATATTGAAGACGAAGAATGGGGGAAATGCTTCACGGTGGAGGCTGCATCTTCAGGTATATCCACAACTAAAAATCTTGAAAATGATTGGATTGTGGATTCGGGTTGTAGCCACCATATTACCGGAGACGAGAAGCTATTTTCTAGTCTTCAGCGCCATGATGGAAAAGAAGCCATAATTACCGCGGATAATTCAGTTCACCGGGTCGAGAAGGAAGGGACTGTTGTCATTGAAGGAGAAGATGGAAGCCCTATCACCCTCAAGAATGTATACCATGTCCCTGGAGTAAGGAAGAATCTTCTCTCTGTGGTGAATGCAGTAGACTCAGGTAACTACGTTTTATTTGGCCCAAGAGACGTCAAATTCTTGAAGAATATTAAAGAGTTAAAGGCGGATGTGGTTCACACCGGATCGCGGGTTAAGGATCTATATGTCTTATCTGCGTCCAACTCATACGTGGAGAAGATGAGTACAAACGACAATGCCTCTATATGGCATGCTCGGCTTGGTCATATAAACATGACTAAGCTAAAGGTTATGGTGAATAAGGAGTTGGTAAATGGGCTTCCGAAGCTGAAGATCCAAGATGAAGGAAAGCTTTGTGAAGGTTGTCAATATGGAAAATCACATAGACTTCCATTTGACAATTCTACTTCACGGTGCAGTGCTCTGTTGGAGAGGATCCATAGTGATTTGATGGGTCCTACAAGAACACCCTCATATTCCGGGTTTCGGTACATGTTGCTGTTCATTGATGACTTCTCACGGCACACTTGGGTATACTTTGTGAAGGAAAAATCAGAAGTATTCTCCAAATTTCAAGAATTCAAGGTTACCGTAGAAGGGGAACTGGGTCGGAGAATCAAGACCTTAAGGACAGATAATGGAGGGGAGTTCATGTCCAAGGAGTTTCTCTCTTTTTGTCAAAAGCATGGAATAAAGAGAGAGTTTACTTGTCCGTATACACCTCAACAAAATGGAGTAGCGGAAAGGAAGATTCGACATCTAACTGAGACGTGCAGAAGCTGGCTATATGGGAAGGATCTGCCTAAAGCCTTGTGGGTGGAAGGCATGAGATGCGCAGTGTACGTCATAAATCGGATGCCACTCAGCCCAAATAACATGAAGTCTCCGTATGAGATGATTCATGGGAAGAAGCCGTCAGTGAAACATCTCAGGATATTTGGATCAGTCTGCTACGTCCATGTGTTTGATTCTCAAAGAACCAAGTTGGAGGCAAAGGCGAAGAAGTGCATCTTCGTTGGCTATGACGAACAAAGAAAAGGGTGGAGGTGTATGGATCCAGAGACACACAGGTACGTAGTGTCTCGAGATGTTGTTTTTGATGAAGTTTCCTCATTCTATGGGCCACCTCAAGTTTTAGTTGAGCAAGAAGGTGGGAGTTCCTCCAAGAGTGATAAACCAGCTCTGAGTAAGGAAAAAGGTCCTGAAGAAGAGATGCAAGGTGAAAGGGGGAGCACTGATCAAGAGGAGGATGAGGAGGAACATCATGGTTCCACGGCTAGTCAAAGGCCTAAAAGGGACATCATTAAACCTGCTCGGTTCAGAGATCCAAAGTTTGTTACTACCTTCTCGTACTATTTTGCAGCTCCATTAGATAAAGATGAGCCAACATCTTATGATGAAGCAAAAGGTGTTGACGAGTGGGAAAACGCAATGAAGGAGGAGATGAATGCTCTCATGAAGAACGAAACTTGGGATTTGGTTCCAAAACCCAAGAATGCCCAACCTGTTTCTTGTAAATGGGTGTACCGGATCAAGCGCAAAACAGATGGAAGCGTTGATAGATTCAAAGCAAGGTTGGTTGCTCGGGGATTCTCTCAAAAGTATGGAGAAGACTATGATGAGACCTTCAGCCCTGTAGCCAAGATGACTACGGTACGTTCTCTCTTATCTTTGGCTGCAAGTTTTGGTTGGAAGTTATGGCAATTAGACGTGAAGAATGCTTTTCTATATGGAGAGCTTGACAAGGAAATCCTGATGGAGCAGCCACTTGGTTTTATATTACGAGAGCATCCTGATTATGTGTGTAAGCTGAAGAAGGCCTTGTATGGGTTAAAACAAGCTCCACGAGCCTGGTATGGAAAGCTTGCTCAGTTTCTTCAGTTCTGCGGTTATGTGGCATCAAACTCTGATCCGAGTCTATTCTTCAAGAAGAATGGAGGAGTCCACGTGGTAGTTCTCCTTTACGTGGATGATATGATAATTACCGGGAATGATGATGCAGAAATTACTCGTTTACAAGAGGATATGTCGATAAGGTTTGAGATGAAGAAGTTGGGAGAGCTCAACAACTTTCTCGGTTTTGAGGTGGAAAGGGTAAAGGGTGGAATATTCATCGGCCAACAAAGCTATGCAAGAAGAATCATTGAGAAGTTTGGAGTACACGAAGGAAAGACACGCTCTACTCCAATGGATGTCAACATAAAGCTTAAACGCGATGAAGGGTCCTTACTACCTGATCCTCGGCCTTATCGCTCTCTTGTAGGAAGTCTTTTATACTTAACCATTACAAGACCTGACATTGCCTTCGCGGTAGGTCTTGTAAGTCGGTTTATGCAGGCACCAAGGAAGCCACATCTAGAAGCGGCAAAGAAGATATTGAAGTATGTGAAGACAACTCTTGGCATGGGTCTGGTGTACAAGTATAATGCCAAGGTCTCTCTTTATGGCTTCACGGATGCTGACTTTGGTGGAGATCTTGATGATCGGAAATCAACTTCAGGCTATGTTTTCCTATGTGGGAACACAAGTGTCTCATGGTGCAGTAAGAAGCAAGCAACGGTGTCGTTATCTACAACTGAAGCAGAGTATAAAGCGTCAACTCTAGCAGCTCAAGAGTGTATTTGGCTTCAGAGACTCCTTGAAGATCTGTTCGAGCCAATCAATAAGCCAATTGCAATTTATGGAGATAATCAAAGTGCGATCAAGCTGGCCAATAATCCGGTGTTCCATGGGAGGACTAAACACATTGAGTTAGAGCATCACTTCATAAAAGAGAAGGTGCTTGATGGGACAATTGAAGCTTTGGAAGTTCGAAGCGAGGACAACGTTGCGGATATCTTCACCAAGTCATTACCAAAAGGTCAGTTCGAGTTACTTCGCTCGAAGCTCGGGATGACTGACAAAATCAAGTTTAAAGGAGAGTATTGAAGTTAAACTTGATTTTGGGTTAAGCTTAATTTTGGGTTTATAAAATAATTATTAGTTATTAGATTAGACCCAAAATTAAGCTCAAGTTCTAGAATCTCTAGAAACATCACTAAAAATCATCATCTTTCTTAAATGTTCTAGAGAATTCTATTAGTTAAATATCTAGATAATTCTATAGATAATTCTAGATGTTGTGGTTAAAATTCTAGATATTATTGTAGAAAATTCTAGAGATTAGGAGAATGTTTGTAAGATATTTTGTAATAAGTGGAGCCTATAAATAGCCCACTACTCCATCATTTGTAAACAAGAGAAGTTGAACAAATAAAGAAAGAGTGTTCTTCATAAGTTCTCTTATCCTCTCTAAAGTTCCTTCAAGTTTTCTCTAAGTATTCTTTCATCTTATTATTCATACTTAGAGGGTCTTTGTTTCTTTCGGATCTCTCGGGTATTACGGTCTTGGGCTAGTGATTGGCACTATCGGTGTTTTCTTTACAATATTTAATCTCTGCACACAAAACTTAACTCCCACGTTAGTGTTACCAATAGAAGATAATTAATATATAGGCAGGTTGTTGTTGGGCGTTTTCAGCGATTGCAGCGGTGGAAGGGTTTCAAAATGTTCCACAAAACAAGGAGCGTGCGTTGTTCTGGCCGTGTGGATACAGCCTGTCTCGGTGTGCATTGCTGTGAGGGCGGCCAGTTTCACCCATTAAGCAAGGGGAGTGTACAATGCGCCCGACTATGGGATCTACTTGACTCATGCAGTGACGTTAGTTGGGTACAGACGACCAAGAGTGGGATCAAGAACTGGCTGGCGAAGAACTCATGGGATGAGATTTGGGGAGAGAATGGTTACATTCGACTCGGTAGAGATGTAGAGTGGCCTCAAGGTATATGTGGTGTAGTTCAGTTTGCTTGTTATCCGGTTGCCTAACTAATTCGGTTACCGATTAATTATGTTGAAATGATAATACATTATTTAGCTATAGTATGGTTTTATATATTTGAATTTTCATAATATAAGTTTAGGATATTTTATAAGTAATATTTATATTTATATGTAATAATTTAAGATAAATTAACATTAAAACCACCATTATGTCATCAATTAGATTAAATCTTGGTCGTATATCTTATACTACTGCTATCTCTTACGAATAACTTCCATTGTTTTCTTACCACTGCAAAGCTTAATAGCGTCTTATGTAATCAATTGATTCTATACATTTTTAAATGTTGATTTTTGATTGTATAATATTTTCAAATATTATTATGTGAATTAACTGTTAACCCTTATTTGAAAGTTTATACGTCAGGTTTTGACATCAAACCCAAAACCCAAATTATTATTAATGTGTAGTATTTTTTTAATTGGGTTTTCACTTTTCAGCTTTTAATCAGTAAGGGCATGTTAAAATCTAATATATTAAGAAATGTTAGAATCTTCAAAGCAACCTTTCTTCAGCTGCAGGTATTCGTTCGCGGGACAGGCTGCTCTCGTTTCCAACAAGAAGTCTCCTTCGCACTTCCCTTTTAGAATTCTATTTTTATGTATTAAGCCCCCTTGACTCTCGTTTTGGGTGGTTTCTGGTTTCTGTAATTTTTCTGAATAAGTTGCTTGTAACAACAGTGTAAAGCTCTTAAAAATTGGTATGAATCTTAACATTATTACAAAATATATATATATATATATATATATATTATATTAAAACAGAATCCCAATAGAAAGAATAACCTTTAGTTATTGTGTTATTTGCTAATATACCATTGGACTTTCGATAGATATATAAAAGTTTATTAAAATTTATTCTTTTCATTAAATTATTAAAGACCTAATTTTTTGTTATTATTTTCATTAGAGGCTTAATATTTTGTTTTCCTTCTTTTTAAAAGGTCCATTTTTGTTTAAAAATTTAGAACTATCTTATTTTTGTTTTTAATTCGAAATTAATCATAAAACATATAGAAAATGCAAAAAAAAATAAAAAAAAATATTTTTAGGATCTAAATTTTATTTTGTCCAAGGGACCTAAAATATGTTAGGTCGGGCTGTATGTCAATATCCATTATGTTTCTTTTTTCTGCAATTGGACTTCCTCAATACTATTCATATACCCAGAAAAATAAATTCATATAGAAAAATGGGAAAAAAGAACAAAGAACAAAGAAAAAAAAACAGAGAAAAAATAAGAAAAAAGGAAGAAGAGAGAAGAATAACATAGAAGAAAAGTATAAAAGAAAAATGGAGAAAAAGAACAAGAAGATGAAGACGAGAAAAAGAAGAAGAACAATAATAAAAACTAAAAAAAAAAATAATACTTTAGAAAAAAAAAAATAATAAAACTAAAATATTTTTTCTTTTTTTAAGGTTTTCTTAATAATAAAACTAAAAAAAGAAAGAATATTTTATCTTTTATTAAAAATCAAACACTTTTGTTATATACTTTTTGATTAAAAAACATGAGTACGATTAACAAAAAATATACAATTAACCATTTAATTTTTAAACTATAATAGATAAAATCCAAAAATATTATTTAAAACATAAATTTTAATATTACAAATATTTACTTCACGCAAACGTAAATACATGCTTAATATGTAAAAGTGTTGCTTAATATATAGAGTGAATATGTTTTTCATATATGTATTTTATAACATTTTAACCTTATTTGTCGATTAACTATTATGGCTCAAATGTTGTAGAACCATAAAATCATATTTTAAAATTGTATTTACAAAACCAATATTTTTAAAAATTAAATTTAAAAAAATATATTACCTGCACGGACGCACAAATTAGATCCTAGTTAACATTAACAAAAAACATAATTTCTTGAGGTTTAGAATTAAAAGTAATACAGTAGAACCTCTATAAATTAATACTCGACAAATTAATAATCACTATAAATTACTAATCTTTGCCTGTCCCAAGTCGGATCAATTTAAAAATTGATAAAATTCGATAAGATAATAAGATAATAGTTTTTTTGGAAAGTTCAATTAAAAATATGGTCCCAATAATAATATAAATTAATAATTATACATTTAGACATATTAATAATATAATATACTAAACTATGATAATATTGTTGTATCAAGTTTTTGAAATTTGTTTCATTTATCTTCTAAATTTATTATTATAATATTTTTTGAATGAATTTTACATTGTTAAAAATATTAATTTTGTTTTCTTGATGAATATTAAAAATTCAAACTAAAAATATATCTATAAATTAATAAAATATTAATTTATCGATAAATTAATTTATCGATTAATTAATAACTCTATAAATTAATAAAATTTGAGAGTCCCAATATTATTAATTTATAGAGGTTATAGGTGGAAAACTCGTGATGAAGAGTTCGGTCATTGTAAGATCTAGATATCTCCCTAAGAGAAAATATAAAGATTGTGGGGGCAAAAGATATAGTTTTATTGAATTTAGCCGGAGCTCGAAGAGTACAAGAGATTTAGGTCGTCGGAAAAGAATGCCGACCTAAGTTTTAAGAATAAAAAACTGAGATCTAGAACTGGAAGCAGTAAGCTATTATTTGCCCTAGGTTTTGAGTCGGAGGTTGTGAATAATTGATCTTCGAGGGAGGGGGCTCTTCTTATATAGCCTTTGTAGACCGCCTTGAGAATAATCCTTCTCCTTCGAGATTAGGATAGTTTCCTTTCTTCTCGGGGTCTTCTTTTCTTTTCCTCCGCGATACGAATATATCTTCGGATATTTCCATATTTGAGCGCCGACCTAAACTCGGAAGCGGAGGTAGGGCTTCAAATAGGCCTTGAAGGGTTTTTAGCAAGAGGTGCTAAACCCATCACTAACAATTGAGATCGGGGAATTTCGAAGCACGGGGTGCTCGAAAGCTATGTCAATCTACACGAACTCCTGGTTGGTACGATTCAAGGACGGGATTTAAACCGTGTCAGAGGTCGGGACTGCGTATACTAGACCGATTGCATTGTAAATCGGGTTGCTAATAGCGAATAACAGGTCGGGTCTTATTTTAGCTCGGGTTCGTAAACCGCTTTTATTGAGCCGGAAACTCTTCGTCTTCTGGGACATGACACATGTCGACTTCTCGAATATATTTAAGCACGGGAAATACGAACCGTCGCAAGAAAACCGTATTCGATTTTGTATAAAAAGGGGGTGAGGGTTTTCATTTCTTCACTTCTTCTCGCGAAAATCTCCGAATCAGGTTCGCTCTCCCTTCTCTCTTCTTTCTCTCTCTAGAATTTTGTTCTGTAGATCTAGTCCTAGGATAGATCGGAGCGTCTGTAGAAGACCATACAGCCAGTAGAAGCCCGTACTATCGTTCATTTAGATCGGGATTATCTAAGCAGATGAATCGTCGCAAATCATAGAAGGGGAAGGAAGTGGTCTCCTCACCGGTTGAATGGGCGGCCAGTATTAGCTTGGGATCGGATAAGTCCGGGCGAATGTTTTCTCGAGCGATGGGAATAAATTATGAAGACATGATAAGAGATCAACAGAAACAGGCGGTGTTGCGATTTGAGAAAGGTCAGTTAGGAACCGTAGCTCGGGGGATGCCGGACCGTCTTTGATTCGAGTTCCTATTGAGGTACCCGAGCTGAGAGACGAATCAGATGACGCCGGGAGTGCCACCAACGTGTCTGATCAGGATGACGGCGCTGAGGACACAAGCGCCAATGCTCTGGCCGATCAAGACAAGGCCGAAGTGAAGGACGAGCCTGTTAGTCTCGGCGCTTCAGCAGAGTCGTGGAAGAACGGGATTCTCGATAAATATACCCCAGCTTCGTTCAAGTATTTGAGGTTGTCCAAGAAAAATGCTCCGAGGCCGGACAACGCCTTTGGCGTAATTCGATCCCGCACTACGTGGAAGTCGCTGACTCTGCTGAAAGAAGTGTGCAGGATCGGGCCCGAGGTGAAATTTATGGTCCCGAGTCCCGAGCAGAGGCCCTGGGATGCTCCACCGGGCTACATATGTCTGTTCGAATACTTCTTCCTCTACGCTCATCTATGGTTCCCACTGCCCCGGATTCTTCTGGAATATTGTGCGAGGAGGGGAATGCCGATCTCGCAGACCACACATGTCTGCATTCGTCATGTGGTCAGTTTGACGGTCCTCGCTCAGGAGCACGGGCTGCCGTTTTCCACCGATATCTTCGAAGAGATGACCGATATTAAGCCTCAGGATGGGAACACTCAGAACCGGGGTTCATTCTATGTTAGTATGAAGAAGAAGCTGAACATAGTCACCGAGAAGTCGTCGAAGAAGATCGACAACTGGCGGGACTGTTATTTCTTTGTGAAGATCGACAAGAATACCGTAGTTGATACGGACGTCCCGATCTTGACTAGATGGGCCGATGTGATCGGTAGCTAGCCGATCTTTAGTTGTAGAGTGCGTTTACTTAATCCCGTACAGACCTTGGTTTTTGTTTTGCAGCGGCACCGGCAACTCCGATCAAGCCTCCTGCAAAAGATTTCTTCGAGCACAGGAACGCTTTTCAGAGATTAAGTCACGAGACTTGGCCGCAGTTTACCATCGAAAGAGTTTCAAAAGCAACAGGTAAATAGGTTGAATTGCGTCCCGTTCTTAAGGAATGTTCCCGGGCTAACGATTCTGCTGTCAGGTCATCTTTGTCGAAAGCTAAAGAAAATGCCGATTAAGCCAAGGAAGACGAGGGACTTTGCCAAAGAACTCGAGGAGTCCCTACTGGCTGCGAGTGGGAGAGATGTTGAGCAGAGGTCGGGTGAAACCCTTGCCTCGGATGCGAATAATCTTGTGGTCGACTCGACCGGGCTAATGCTCTTCCGGCAGGAGTCCCGGACTCGGGAGCTGAGGTCAGGAGCGGTGTCGATACCATCCCCGTCGACGTTCAAGGTGGGGCCACTGCCAAGAATACCCTGAAGCGGAAGAGGGCCGAGAAGAAAAAGG